GCCAATATCTGAGCTGTTCCAACAAGGTGGATGCAAGGAGGGGGGAGGCGTTACTGAGATAGGAAGCGGGAAGCTGTTGGGCAGGGGATTAATCAGAGGAACTGCGTGTGGAGAGGTGCTGGCTATGGGTGGGCTGATGGGAGGAGGGATGGGACATGTCCTTTCGCTTTGCATTTAGAGCCAGTTTGCTTCTCTTCTTGTGCTTCAAGCTGTGACCTTTTCAAGCAAGTTAATCCCCTTGAGCTTCTTCCTCAGCCTGCAGAATATCACGCATCTACTGCAGTGAGGTTACGACAAGGGCATCACTTCATGGTGTGGTTAGTGGTGGTGCACAGCGGCTCAAAGTTGTGGTCCTCGACTGATACTGCAAAGAGCTGCGTTGACACAGACCAGCACTCCTTTCCTTTTACATTTTGGGTGGCTTTTCACATCCCAGCAGCTCCTACACCAGCCTTGTCCAGGAGAAGTCACATCAGCACAGACCAACAGTGGCACTTCCACCACCCCAAATGTTGCTCATTGGAGGACGAACAAGCCCATCTTGCTTATAAAATCATAGAATGGTTTGGGTTGGAAGGAACCCTAAAATTCATCTATTTCCAGCCCCCTGCCATGGGCAGGGACACCTTTCAATAGGGCAGGTTGCTCCAAGACCCTTTGTCCATCCTGGCCTTGAAAACTGCCATGGATAGGGCAGCCACAGCTTCTTTATAGCCAGCAATAAGGGAAAGTTCTCTCCACTCTGGGGCTGTCACCACTGCAGACACCGTATCAGAGGCACGGTCATCGCACACACATATGCGGAAATGAAATCATGTTTTTGCAGTGGACTCATTTCCTCCAGGCTGTTTGGCCGCTGTGCACACGGATGCATGCACGGAGGGCTTGGACTCTCCTCCTGCAGGTCTGCCCTGCTACCAGCACATGGTGTGGGGTTTTCTGACTGATACATGCAAGAGGAGAGGTGCAGATCAAAGTATTTTAGACTCACAGCAACCAGTGCTGTCAATAGCTGCTGTATGACCCTCATTTCCCTTAATTTGAGGAACTGATGATGGGCCAAAAGTGAAATCACGTAAGTCGCCTTGCCCTGCCAAAATGCAGCCAGGAACGTCAGGGACATGTAGCATTTTCTGCCTTCTGGAAAACAGGGTGAGGGACTCTGGCTGAAATTCAAGCGCACTTTCCTTTGGAAAGGGTCTCCTCCTGGGAAAGGGAGTGATAGCTTAGAGGATCTCTTCTCCACCTTCCTTCTTTCTCACATCACATGTTAAATCATTTTATCTCCGGGGCTCATGGCTTGAAAGGGTCATTTGTTCCCTGCAAAAGGACATGCTGTATCTTTTGTGACTAATTTTCATGCTAAAGGGCCACCAAATATAATCCTGTCCTGTCTGGCTGTTGTTACCACCAGTCTGTGGTTACCGGGGTTTTCTCCTCCGTCAACTAGATCCTTTTCATTTCTTTTATGGAGGAGACAGTCATCAGGCAGTCCTGGCTATCAGCCCAGGCAAACAGGGGCTCATTACCAGTTATTACCCCTGGGTTTGCCGCCGAGATTTGGCACGGGTGGCCAGTTAAGGAGGAAGAGATAAAAACTATTTATCTGGCATTGGAAAGGGATATATAGCACATGTGGAAGGAAAGCAGTGGCCCCTGGGCCTGCACTGCTCTCACTGTGTTTGTTTCTGCTTTGGAATTAAGCATTTGCTGGGCCTCTGTAAATGAGAGCAATGAGTTCGCATAAGCCAGGTCTTCTGCACTGCAGGTGGTGAAGCTGCCAAAAACCATGATTTGATGTTCCTTAGTTGGAATAAAATACGTTTTTTTTCCCCATTGCTGCAGTGAGAAAGAGTCCCTGGACAAACAACTGCGGTTAAACCCAGAGTAATAAAACTGCAGAAAGGTGTGCAGCCCTGTGACTGCAGTAGCATCAGGCTCCTTGTGGCACAGTGGTGAGGGGTCCACTTTAGTTGAATGCAACTGGAGAGAGAAGGTAAATTTTGCTGTCAGATGGGTACCCAAAAATCTGTGGGACAGGTATGAGGATGGATGGGGATCCCCCACGGAAAGAAGATCTCACCCAGCCATAGCCTTGGCTGGTCTCTGCTGGTGTGTTGTGGGTCCACAGTGGTGTACATTCACAGAATCACAGACTGGTTTGTGTTGGAAGGGACCTTAAAGCTTACCCAGATCCAACCCCTGCCACAGGCAGGGACACCTTCCACTAGAGCAGCTTGCTCCAAGCCCCTGTGTCCAACCTGGCCTTGAACACTGCCAGGGATGGGGCAGCCACAGCTTCTCTGGGCACCCTGTGCCAGCGCCTCAGCACCCTCCCAGGGAAGAGCTTCTGCCTAAGAGCTCATCTCAGTCTCCCCTCTGGCAGGTTAAAGCCATTCCCCCTTGTAAAAAGTCCCTCTCCAGCAGGTCCACGTCCCCTTTGTTTTGGGGACCCCACGCTGTCTTGAAGAGTACCAAGTCTGAAACCTGCCTGGATTTCATCTTCCCATGGCCATCTCCATGGCTGCTGTTCACCACAGCCTTTGCATTTAGGCCAGCAACAATAATTCTTCAAAATAGTCTGCTTTGAGACAGGCAGCTATGGAAGAACAAATGGGGAAAGGGAATCATAGAATCATAGACTCACAGAATCACAGAATCACAGAATCATAGAATCATAGAATCATAGAAACATAGAATCACAGAATCATAGAAACATAGAATCATAGAATCATAGAATGGTTTGGGTTGGAAAAGAACTTAAGATCATCCAGTTCCAATCCTCTGCCATGGACAGGGACACCTCACCCTGGACCATGTTGCATAAGGTTCTGTCTAACCTGTTGAATTCCATCCATCCATCCATCCATCCATCCATCCATCCATCCATCCATCCATCCCCTGCATGGTGGCTCACCACTTCCAAACAGGAGTGTGCTGGCTCCTCAGGTTGCTTTGAGCCCATTTAAATCACTGGTCCTAGCTTACTGAATAAGAATAAATTGATGTTTTATCATCTCTTGACCTTAGCAGGACAGTAGTGCTAAGACTGCTAAGGAGATATGGAAAGATAAAATACTGGTAAGCTTTGTAGGCATCAACTTGAGTCTTGGTTCTTCTCCCAGTTGCTTTTTTGGGCTTGAAAGAGGCCCTGCTGTCATCCCAACCAGGGCAAGCCTGGAGTATCCCATCAGATTTCTCCATCAGCAGAGCAACCCCTGGCTTTGTGCTTTTTCATCCAATTTTTGCTGAAAGTGGTAAAAACACATCTGCAGCCCTCCAGGGTTGGATGAGGAAGTGCTGGGGCAGGGATGCTGGTTTCTTGGCTCCCAGGGTCCCAGCTGACCATGGGAGCTGTCTCAGAGACAAAACATGGGCCTGCCCCTTTCTCTTTTGGACCAAATTGAATTGAATTGCCTTTTCTACCTCTCCTTTGGTGCCTGTTTGCTTCCTGCCTCTCTGGGATGGGGCTGGGGCACGAAAAGGAAGCGGGAGCAGTTGGGGATTTCCTTCACCTTCCTTTTGACCCTTTCTTTATTTACATCTATTTTGTATTGTTTCTGCCTTTAAAGGGTTTATTCTTCTGTTTTTTACCTTCTTTGTTGTCAAACCTCTGACAGGCTTTCACAGCCCTATTTATTGGGTTGTCCCACTAACTGGATGCCTGGTCTCTAGCTTGGCGCAACCATCACTGATTCAAGACAGACAGGATGGCAGTTGGAACTGGATGATCTCAGGTCCTTTTCAACCCAAACGATTCTATGATACCTGTTCTATATGATTGTCTATTCTATGACAGTGGCCTGTTTATAGGAAATATGACTTACCTCCACAAAAGCTTTTTTCCTGTACATGTAGTGCTGATGCTTTGTCACAAGCCCAGGGTTTCCTCAAATAATTCATGCTGCTGGTTTCAATTAAACTCACATCTTAACGGTGTTAGCTTTCCGCAGCAGTATGAATGTCAGAAACAAGAGCTTTCATCAGATCTCTGAAGCACAACCGGTGCTAATAAACAGGCTCTGTAAGAGAAAATACATTGCTGGTATGCCAGCACGGAGGAAAGAAGCAGCATTAGGATATGGCTGAAAACCAAACCTTGGAAGCGTGATTCCTGTTCTGGAGGAGTGGAAATCACATACAAGTGTTACATGAGGCAAAAGGACACAGTCATTTCTGCACAGCCATCAAATGGAGGAACACATCCCTCCCCAAATCAGGTTGTTGTCTGGAATGCAGACAGACCTATGGATGAAGTGGCTCAGTGCAGCCCATGGTTCCTATAGAGGAGAAACTGGTTGAACCTTTCCTGGGTTGAATCTCAACAAGAGCCCAGAGCTGATGGTTACCACGTGCACCTCCCATCTGAGGGAGAACTGCCTGCTGGCAACCAGGAGGTCTTTCCCTCCTGCTCACACTCCAACCTCTTTGAAGCCCTGTGATTTTGAACCCCTGTAGTTCTTGACTACGTTTGTCATGGAGGTTTCTCAGGCTTCCTCTTCCTCCTCCTCCTCCTCTGCTCTGCTTTCTGCCGGACACGGCACATAGGGATGCTGGGGAGGGACTCTTCATTAGGGACTGTAGTGACAGGACAAGGGGTAAGGGGTTAAAACTGAAACAGGGGAAGTTTAGATTGGATCTAAGGGGAAAATTCTTTCCTGTGAGGGTGGTGAGGCACTGGAATGGGTTGCCCAGGGAGGTTGTGAATGCTCCATCCCTGGCAGTGTTCAAGGCCAGGTTGGACAAAGCCTTGGGTGAGATGGTTTAGTGTGAGGTGTCCCTGCCCATGGCAGGGGGGTTGGAACTGGATGATCTTAAGGTCCTTTCCAACCCTAACTATTCTGTGATACCAGCACACAGCACTTGGTACGAGTCTTGAGAGCATGAGACAAGCCCTGAGTGAATGACTCATGGTTTCTGGTCAGCTTATATTTCTGGGTGTAAACCAAAGGTAGCTTCCTTAGTTCAAAGTTTATCTTGGTATTTTCACTTTTCCCTAGGTGTCAGCTCTCAGGATGATGCAAATCCACCTCCTCCAAGCACAGGAGCAACTGGGCCAATCCTCACAACTACAGGCACCACGAAGATGCAAGAGACCACCCCTGCCAGCAAATCAGGAAGCTCACCACACACCCCTACGCCATCACCCACCCCAGCTCAAGAGCCCACCCCTACAAGCAAGCCAGGAAACCCAACACACGCCTCTGTGATATCACCCACCACAGTTTCAGCGACCACCCCTGTAAGCAACCCAGGAAACCTATCACCCACCCTTGCGATGTCTCCCCCTTCACTTCAAGGGGCCACCCCAACAAACAACTTGGTAAACCCAGCACTCTTTTCTACAACATCACTTCAAGCATCTCAGCAGGTCAGTTCTTCAACCAGCTCCACAGCCTCAACAGCCGCCCCTGCTGCCACCTCCAGTATCACACAGCAGATCAGCCCTGCAGCCAGCTTGGGGAGCTCAGCACCCACCACTGCTGCAAGTCCTGTCCTCACACACATGAGCAGCTCTGTAGCCTCTACAGGGAGTATAGGAAGTGCTGTCGCATCCTCTCCCAGTGTGAAAGATCAGGGAAGCCAGCTTTCGGTCCAGGTGACCACCATCACTGTGAGCACCAGGGTCCCAGGGAGCATCCCTTCCCCTGGGCTCAAGGACTACGGTGTCCCTTCCTCCACATCTCTTACCAAACAGCCTCACTCTTCTGCCAGTTCTCCAGGCCAGGGACTGGCCTTTTCCACCAGTCCTGGAAGCATCAGCATTTCTGTTCCCCCTTTTGGTGCATCCACGTCCCCCACCACTAGTAAAGCATCTCTGACTTCACCATCCGGCAGCATCGACAAGGTCTCGGAGGCAGCCACCACGCCGACTCCTGCAGCAGGTACCAGAAGATGAGAACGTTAATTTATCATGCTGGGAGTTCCCTTTCTGTGATCTTTTCCTTTGGCTACTTCCTGTCATTATGGGGTGTCATCTCCTTGTCCCATTGTAGGACTTCCCAGCATCCTTGTCTCAGTGACAACTGGGTGCTTACCTCCCTGTTTTCATTGCTGGAGATCGAGTCAATGCATTTAATGAAATTCAAGGCATAAATCAACTGCCAAAGCGTAGACACTGAATTGGGATGGGTCAAACTGTGCCCAAAGCACCATTGACTGCAATGACTTGATCTTCAGTGGCTGCAGAAAGGAGCCAGCAGCAACGAGTTGTAGGCATTGCAAAGCTGGTGAAACAGATTGACAGCACCCAAATGCTGACTGCAGAAGATCCCTGGTACGGCTGACAGTTTAGTGAAGGCTGTCTGGGCATGCACAGAAAATAAGCTTTAGATGACTAAGGAGATTTTGTGGCTAAACTCTGAGTCTACAAGCTCTAGAGAGTCTAAGTAGCTAGGTAGGATGCTCATCATCGCTGCAGGGGGTTTGGCTGCTGACTTTGGTCTGAGCAGCATTATGAGTGCCTATGTGGTGTTTGGGATCTTGCTGAGCACCATTAATGTGTTTTCTCTGGAGCTTTGCAGAGTCATGTTAGTTCCTAAATGTCCTGCTAAGGCACAGCTTAGGCTCCCTGTTGGCATTTTGTCTGGTAGCATTAGAATCACGCTGGGGGACTGTGAGGGTTCCATGGAGCCTTCCAGACTTGGGTGGGATTGTGGGATCAGCTCCCATCTGGCCCTGAATAAAAGCTGTGATGACACTGAGGCCCTTCCTTAACTTCCCCTGGACAATGTTGTTCTTGACCCAATTTCCAGCTACCTGCAGTACAGAAGCCACTCGAAAGCCATCTCCATCCCCCTTCAGCCTTAAGCATCACTTAATGCAAGACCACTGTCACTGGCTTCATCCATGTCATGTTTTGAGCAAGCCAGCAGGCGTGAGGAGGTGAAAGGGGTGTCTTCATGAAGGATGTTTCTTTCCCCTCCTGCTCCACAGGACTGTTCTTTATTAGAAGATGATACATGAAATTGTGTTAATTCGAATTTGACCTCAAGTGTTGAGCACGAAGAGGTCTAAAAAACCTTTGCATTTGGTAAGTGAGAGAAGGCAATAGAAACAGATGGCTTTGAAATGAATGATCTCCTGGAGCCTTCAGAATGTGTCTGGGAGAGAAATATCCCTCATCTTTTCTGTAGTCTCAAAAGGTAGCCTCAAAAGCAACTAGGACGTGAAAGAGATGCAGCATTTTAATTCTCTTTGTCAACAGTTAGAGATTAATTAGGAATTCGGGGATGGAGATCCATTTATTCACAAGGATTTGGGGAGGCAGGGGGCTGCTTTACTCTGTGCCCTACTTCCATTGCATTGTACGATGCTACAGACCTTAACAAAGGCATCTGAGGTGATCTCAGGTATTTGAGGCACCTCCATTGGGCTGGTAGACATGGGGCATGTGCCCTTCGGGAGTAGCAGGCAGGCAGGACACCCCAGGCTGTCTCCCATAGCACCAGCCACTGCTTCTAAGCAGGTTACCCTGGGCTTCTTCATAGCTGATGGAGATGCAGCCAGCAGAGGTTATGGGCTTTCATCCCCTCCTAATGGCGGTGCCTGCAGTTGTCAGTGGGACTGCACAGTGATCTCCATTCACTGCAAGAGCTGGGTAACGAGCTCAGGTAGCCTCTGTTTGTTGTAGAAATGTCTATGGAATCCCCTCTAGATAAAGTGAAATGAAGGCTATCCCATTTCCCCAGCAATACTCCTCTTTTAAGTGATCCCCCAGCTACCAACACACAGTCATTATGTTGCCCTTGGGTTCACCTCTCCACAACAGTCTGATGGGTTTCACCAGCAGAAAATAAAGCCAGCAGTAAGACATTTTCCTTATCAAAGTTAATTTTTAAGTTAAAAAAGAGCTCTCCAAGCTTCGGCACCATGAGCTTCACAAATGGAGCTGTGTCACCTGTATCCTCTGTACCGTATCAGTGTCTGTCTGCTTGTTTTTTGGTGTCTACTGGGGACCCAGACCAGAGAAGTCATCCATCAACCAAGCCTGCAAGTGCTGACCAGAGCCCTGCCAGTGCACAGCCATCATCCCCGTCCCTGGGGGACCAGACAGCGAGCTGCAGTCCTGGCCACCAGCACCCTAACATTTCATTCCAAAATGAGGTAATGAAGCCTAAGGGAAGGTGGGCACTTCATGGTGGTGTCTGTTAATGCTTAACTGGTGTCCCATGTACATGTGGAGTCTGAAGGTCTTCTCACTGCACAGGGAGATCTGCCTCAGGGGAACATGGGGCAGCAAAATAACTCTAGATCATAGAATCATAGAATGGTTTGGGTTGGAAGGGACCTTTAATGGTCATCTAGTCCAACCCCTTTCTCCTCTTGCTTTCCAGTGAAGAGACATGGAGGATGGAGCAGGGAGGCGAAGGGGATTATGGTCTGGGTGCTGAACAGGGGAGAAGTCTAATTTGGGAAGAGGGGGAGAACCATTATATAGAGCAGAAGCTGCCTTGGGGTGGACTTGGGCTTGACAAGAGGGCAAAGAATCCAGTTAGCATAAACCATACATGGATGCTATTAGCAGAAAACAGTTTGGGAGAGTAGGGGTTCTCAAAACACAGGCTACAACAGGAAGGGGATCCTGCTCCTAGATACTTGCCTTTTGTAGAGTAGGACTGCATCAGGCCCACTGGCATGGATCCTCCCACTGTCCAAGCCAATTCCTGCTTTACCCCATGCTGCAAATCCTAAATGTGGTTTGGGAAGTGCATTAGCAACATCCCGCAGGCAGCCCTGTCAGTTACCTGTGAAAACCCTTCCGCATACGAAGAGCTGAGTGAAGGGCTCCCAAATCTGTCTCATTTCCATCAAACGGATCAGAGCTTTGGTTGGGATGTCTCCTGATTTGGGGTAGTGTGTTGTATCGGTGACCAATTCTCCTTCCAATCCATGTCAGTGATGTGAAAGTTGCTTTTCTTCTGTCCTTCCAGGTCATCTGTAAAGACCAAGTGCAAAATACTTGGCCCACCATGTACCTGAAAGAAGCTAAAACCTGTGTGAGTACCACCCTTTGGGACTTCTATGTAGAACCCTACAGCAGCTGTGTTGCTGTTGGAGATCAGCTTTTAACCTGTGGTACCCTGAACGTGTGAGCCTGTAGAGATGAGGGTGATTCATCAAAATGAGTACAACCACTTTAGGGCTGTAAAATGACAGCACCCACTGTGCTCCTGGAGGAGAAGCACAGGTCTGCTGCCGTCTCATGGTCATCATCACCTTCCTGCTTGGGCTTTTACTTGGTGTAAATGCTCCTTGCCTGTGCACCCACAGAAATGATGGTGCTCTGAGCTGTGCTGCCTGCAACACTGAGGATGACTCCAAAGAGGGAGCTTATTACTGTGATGACCATGTCCAAGGCAGGAAGGCCTCTCCCGATACCATCCCCTGCCCTGCTTTGTGCAATGTCTGAACCTGCAGCTTCTCATCAAGTTCCATATTGGATGCATAAAAAAATTTCATCAGATAGATTGATAACATCTAATTTTAGAGCCTGAAGTACCCGGGTGCCTTATGACCATGCTGCTGTTTAATTCTTCCCTTCTCCTTCTGGGTGCAGATGGAGCCAGTGCCATAGCATCATAGAATTCCAGCCTGGTTTGGGTTGGAAGGGACCTTAAAGCTCCTCCAGCTCCAACCCCTGCCACGGTCAGGGACCCCTTCCACTAGAGCAGCTTGCTCCAAGCCCCTGTGTCCAACCTGGCCTTCAACACTGCCAGGGATGGGGCAGCCACAGCTTCTCTGGGCACCCTGTGCCAGCGCCTCAGCACCCTCACAGGGAAGAGCTTCTGCCTAAGAGCTCATCTCAGTCTCCCCTCGGGCAGCTTAAAGCCATTCCCCCTTGTTCTATCACTACCTGCTCTCTCCTCCCCATGGCTTCACTGGAGCCGTGCTGGGAGGCTTTTTGGCAGCAGGGATGGTTTGGCTGGGAAGTGCCAGTGCACTGGTTGTGTTTCCGAGCTGAGCGCTGTGCAGACATCACAGCTTGGCATCCTCCATCCCTCCTGTCTGCCCGCTCCGCTGGGTGCTGGCGAGCCAGCGAGTCTGCTGCCCTGCTTCCCTCAAATTCCTCTGGGCACAATCAATCACGACCCGAAGCATTGTTAGTACCAAATGCCAGTTACAGCTTGAAACAGCCTGCGAGGGTGCATCCTCCCATCGCATCGCGCTCCTCGGCTGCCAAAACACCTCCCACCCGCTCAACGTTAATGTTCCACTCGGTGTATTCCTGAGCTCCAACAGACTCGGATGCCTCCCGAGCCGAGCAGATAGCAGAGTGGCACTATCTGGTTTCCCTGCTTTGTAGGGACGGTAAACAAGGCTCTGGCCAAATCCTGACAGCAAAGTGAAAAAAGCCTTTGCGTTTCACAAGCCGTGGGAAAACAGGAAAGCGAGCGCTATAAGGAGGAGTGTTCCAGAAATGGATCCAGTCCTGGTGCTCAAGAGGGAGCTGGAGTCAGGGCAGCACTGTACTAACAGTGCTCTTAGTTAGCTCCCTTCCCTCAGCTACAGTGAGGCCTGAGAAGCATCAAAGACATGGGTGTTGGTGGGGATGTGTCCACATCAGAGGGAGGAGGGCAATGCAGATCAACTCCGTGCATGGGGCAGCACATGTGATGCTGGGACCCCAGGGAAATGGTTGGGACTGAACCCAAGAACTGGGTTTCTCCGCCTGCAGTATATGTAAAGACCAAAAAAACCCTCCCCAAAACTCCCCCAAGAGCCAAAAAGAAAAGGTAAATCCTACAAACCCCCTCAAATATATGGTTAGTACAACTTTGTGGACTAAAGGTATTTTATGGTCTGCTTAGTTCCCAACATCCTTCCTCTTCAAGTGATGCGTAACAGTTTGATCCATGTTCCCCCACCCTCCCTTTTTCCTCTTCTCCTTTCTTTGATTACAACAGGATCTTAATAAGTTTCTTAATGAAACTTATTAAGACGAGTTTCTAAATGAAACTTATTAGCTTGATGTCTTGCATTCCATAGGATGACTTTCCCAAGGTGTGGCTCACAAGTGTAGCTTCAGTGGGGTGTTTGCTGCTTCAGGTGCTCCAGCCTTGGGATGGAGGGATGGATGGATGGATGGATGGATGGATGGATGGATGGATGGATGGATGGATGGATGGATGGATAGACGGAAGGATAGACGGAAGGATAGATAGATGATAGATAGATAGATAGATAGATAGATAGATAGATAGATAGATAGATAGATAGATAGAAGGATAGATAGAACAATAGATAGATAGAAGGGTAGACAGAAGGATAGATGATTGATTGATTGATTCATTGATAGATAGATAGATAGATAGATAGATAGATAGATAGATAGATAGATAGATAGATGCTGTGTCCCTCATCCCAACCCCAAAATGTGTTAAGTGAAGTGAGAGGTTGTGATTTCTGGGGTGGCTGGTGTGTTTGAAGCTATGCTTTAGGCCAGGGAGCCGTCCTCCTCTTCCATCGTGTCCCAGGCAGGGACATGGATGTGCCCAGCGAGCTGAGCTGAAGGATGCTGAGCCTGCTCCAGCCAGGGCATGCAAAACCAACAGTGGGACCACCCGGACCCGTGCCCAAGGGCATTTGCTGTGTGACAGCAACCAGTGTGGGGCCAGCAGGAGGGTCCCTGAGCAGGCAGAGGGACCCCTCATGGTGCAGGGTCGTGGTCCCCTCGCCCCGTCCAGCTGCCGGGGCTGCTTTGTTGACTCAAGTGCCGTTACCTCATTCGGGGATGTTGGTTTTAGGGCCCCGCCAGTGTGGGAACCGGATTCGAGCTGCTCGGCAGCGCCTCTCAACTCGGGCCAAGGAATGCGAGCGGCTCCGGCGATGGGATGGGAGAGCTGCCAGGGTCGGGGCACTGCAGATGGGGCATCCCTGATGGAGGCAGTGGGGTCCCCCATGGCCCTTTCCTTCCCTGGAAAGGGTAGATCTCTCCAGATCAGCCTCTGAAGGGGTTTAGGCTCTGCCCACTGCAAAGCGGTTCAGTGCTCAGCTGGGTTTTAGCCTCGCATCTGATTTCACTTCCTACCCCAGAAAGATGCATTTTGAAGGGGGTTTTCTTCCCCTGTGGGGTGGTAGGAGGAGAAGTGCGTTATTAAGGGTTGGGTGACGGCAGAGCTGCAGCAGAACCTGGGGAAGGGGGATGCAGAGAGGCTTTTCGGGCCTGGGCTGAGCAGAAAATGCAGCACAGGCAGGGGCTGATAAAACGGAGGATGTTTAAAGCGTAGGAGCACAACCCAGCGACCGAAGATGATAAAAGCACTGCCCTGAGCCATAGCCCTCTCCTCCCTGTCCTGCTGGGGATGAGCTTTCAGGGGGATGCTGCCACACTAAGGTCTTGTCTTGCTGCCCAAGGGCTGCCCTGGTACAGGGCTGCAGCAGGGTTCATGGAGTCAAGGAATGGTTTGTGCTGGAAGGGACCTTAAAGCTCATCCAGCTCCAACTCCCTGCCACGGGCAGGGACACCTTCCACTAGAGCAGCTTGCTCCAAGCCCCATCCAAACCATCCATGCTTTGTCCTGCTCACTCCAACCCATCAGCATCCCACCTGCTCCACTGCAAGGGTGGGAGAGGCCTGGATCAGGAAGGTATCTAATCTCACCCCATCTTATCTAAACATCTGGGAAGCAGCGGTGGAGACAGGATGCACTTGCCGGGGCGGAAGACCGGTCCTAGGCACAGTGCGAGGGTGAGCTCAGCATTGTGAGGCCCTGGCTGTCCCTGGGGAACACTGATGGCCCTTGCTTGTCCTTTCACTTTGCACAGGGAAAAACTACCCTCTGGCTCCTCTACTGAGTCCTCACCATCCCAGCTGCATCACTGTGTGGGACTTGCCTGCAAGAAACCTGGAGAGGGGCTTTGGACAAGGGCCTGTAGGGCCAGGCCAAGGGGAATGGCTTTAAGCTGCCCGAGGGGAGTCTGAGATGAGCTCTTAGGCAGAAGCTCTTCCCTGTGAGGGTGCTGAGGCGCTGGCACAGGGTGCCCAGAGAAGCTGTGGCTGCCCCATCCCTGGCAGTGTTCAAGGCCAGGTTGGACACAGGGGCTTGGAGCAAGGTGCTCTAGTGGAAGGTGTCCCTGCCCGTGGCGGGGGTTGGAGCTGGAGGAGCTTTAAGGTCCCTTCCAACACAAACCAGTCTGGGATTCTAAAGGAGCTGTACATAGAGCATCACCACATACAGGACCTGTGCATGCAGCTGGTGATTGTCTCTACAGCTGCTACAAACCATCAAGCAGATGCAAAAAGCCTCTGGAACATCTCAGAGGCAAAATAGGCTCCATCCACCCCTCTGCCACCCCTCCAGCTATGTCCAGGCTAAACCCTTCCAGGGATGCTCCAGTTTATCTGAAATGAAAACTCTTCCTCCTGCCTCTGCAGAGCCATGGGGAAGCTCTGGGGAGGACAGCGATCCATGTTGGTGGGGACAGAGCGTAGAAATGTGGGTGGCTGGGATGGCTACAGATGCCCGTGGGGGCACAGGGATGGCTGCACAGCCCTATCCTGCTCCCACCATGGCCCCTGGTCCTCCCTGCCCCACTTCCCTTGGGAACCTGCTATTCCTGTAACGCCAAAAGCTGCAGCTCCCAGATAAGGCCCCAGTGAGGAAAGTCAGCCAAGAGCTTGGCTTCTTGTATAGAAACTCCTCTTAAACCTTTCCTGTTCCCTGGAAATGACGGGCAGCCTCCAGGCAGTGCAGCACGATGGGGATGGACACAGCATCCCTGGTGACGGGGTGGGATGGGGATGGACACAGCATCCCTGGTGATGGGATGGGATGGGGATGGACACAGCATCCCTGGTGATGGGATGGGATGGGGATGGACACAGCATCCCTGGTGATGGGGTGGGGATGGACACAGCATCCCTGGTGATGGGATGGGGATGGACACAGCATCCCTGGTGACGGGGTGGGATGGGGATGGACACAGCATCCCTGGTGATGGGATGGGATGGGGATGGACACAGCATCCCTGGTGATGGGATGGGATGGGGAAGGACACAGCATCCCTGGTGACGGGGTGGGATGGGGATGGACACAGCATCCCTGGTGATGGGATGGGATGGGCATGGACACAGCATCCCTGGTGATGGGATGGGATGGGGATGGACACAGCATCCCTGGTGACGGGGTGGGATGGGGATGGACACAGCATCCCTGGTGATGGGATGGGATGGGGATGGACACAGCATCCCTGGGGATGGGATGGGATGGACACAGCATCCCTGGTGATGGGATGGGGATGGACACAGCATCCCTGGGGATGGGGCAGGATGGGGATGGACACAGCATCCCTGGGGATGGGGCAGGATGGGGATGGACACAGCATCCCTGGTGATGGGATGGGGATGGACACAGCATCCCTGGGGATGGGGCAGGATGGGGATGGACACAGCATCCCTGGTGATGGGATGGGGATGGACACAGCATCCCTGGGGATGGGGCAGGATGGGGATGGACACAGCATCCCTGGGGATGGGGCGGGATGGGGATGGACACAGCATCCCTGGGGATGGGGCGGGATGGGGATGGACACAGCATCCCTGGGGATGGGGCGGGATGGGGATGGACACAGCATCCCTGGGGATGGGGCGGGATGGGGATGGACACAGCATCCCTGATGATGGGATGGGGATGGACACAGCATCCCTGGGGATGGGGCGGGATGGGGATGGACACAGCATCCCTGGGGATGGGGCGGGATGGGGATGGACACAGCATCCCTGATGATGGGATGGGAATGGGATGCTCCTGGGGCTGGGGGGACCATGCTGAGCCCTGTCTGTCCCTGCAGGAGGAGTGGAGAGCCGCCAGCACCAACGTGTCCTTCTTTGAGAGCTTCTGCTCCACAGCCCAGCACATGTTCAATGCCAGCAGGGAGACGTGCACGGTGACACTGAGCGCCCGTGAGCCCCGCTCCCAGGACTGGGTTGTGCACGCAGTCATACACAGTGAGTATGATCCCAGGATCCTGCATGGAGTGGGATGGGACTGGGGACACTGGGGTGGGGATGTGGCCTGAGGCTTGGCACAGCTCTTGGGTCATAGAATCACGGAATGGTTTGGGTTGGAAGGGACCTTAAAGCTCACCCAGTTCCAACCCCCTGCCACGGGCAGGGACACCTTCCACTAGAGCAGGTTGCCCAGAACCACATCCAGCCTGGCCTTGAATGAGGTATCCTGGATCTTAGATAAGGGGCTCCTGTCCTTGGGCTGCCCTATCCTTAATGGATTTGGAGAGGCACAATGACCTCAGCAATGATTTGCTCCCCAGTGAATGCATCAGATCGCTCTCTCATCCATGATGAGTCAAGGCAGGGAGCAGTCTCCAGGAGGAAAAATTCCTCCCAAAGTGCTTAAATCCAGTGTCCACATTACATCCTTCCCCAAGAGATTATAGAGACTTCAAGGTGAGGTTGGACACAGGGGTTTGGAGCAAGCTGCTCTAGTGGAAGGTGTCCCTGCCCGTGGCAAGGATTGGAACTGGAGGAGCTTTAAGGTCCCTTCCAACCCAAACCAGCCTGGGGTTCTTGCCCACGCTGGAGCCCTTTGGGGAAATCCAGCTTGGACAGGGGTGCTCAAACACTCCTTTAGTACCAGGGTGTCGGGAAGATGCAGACATCACACTGCTGTAGCAGGAGGGGGAGGAAGGACTCAGCTCCATCCTCCTCATCATCAGAACAAGGGCTGGGGGGGGAGTGTCCAGAAGGGTGCTGAGGACTAATCCTGCACCACTTCATCATGGCCTCAAGTAGCTGGTTACAGCCCCTCACAGGTCTCACTTGTAAATGGCCCATTGGAGACCCCCACCAGTGTGGGCACAGCCCGGGGCTGGGGACTGGTATCCCATTTCCAGGACCAGAGGTCTCAGCTCCTTGTCTAACAGTGGAGATACCTGATAGAGTTGGCTTCATTCATGCACATCTCCATCCACCTCCTCCAGAATGAGGGTCACCCATTGACTGAGAGATGGGGGCACAACCTGCCCCGCTCCCCTAATGCTCATTGCAGCCTCTTTCTTCCCCCAGTCCCTTTGGACCCTGAAAAAGTCCTCGAGGAGCTGAAGGAGAAGAAGGACAAGTTAGAGGAGGTACGTGGATTCCCTGTGAACATCCCTCGGGGTGGGTGATGCAGGAAGTCCTCCTCGAGGCCTGACGCATCCTTTCTGTGGCAGCTCGGCATCGCCAACATCACCTATGACAGAATGGAGAGGGAGATGGTCATCACCGATGAGTTTAGCACGCCCCTGATCATCACCATCGTCACCCTGGCTGGCTCCCTGTTGCTGATCGCTGCCATCTACGGCTGCTGCCACCAGCGCTTCTCCCAAAAGAAGGACCAGGTACGGCGGGATAGGGGTGGGATGGGGACCGTGAGGGCTTTTTGACTCGCTGGCATCTTCAGATGAAGATCATCCCTGTTACCATCTCTGCTGGTAGAGACATCCTGGCTTGTCCAGCGAGTATCATCTTTGCATGTTGCTCAAGGGGTGCTCAAGTCCTGTTCTTTTGTAGTGACAGGACAAGGGATGATGGGTTCAAAGTGAAACAGGGGAAGTTCAGGTTGGATACAAGGCAGAAGCTCTTCCCTGTGAGGGTGCTGAGGCGCTGGCACAGGGTGCCCAGAGAAGCTGTGGCTGCCCCATCCCTGGCAGTGTTCAAGGCCAGGTTGGACACAGGGGCTTGGAGCAAGCTGCTCTAGTGGAAGGTGTCCCTGCCTGTGGCAGGGGTTGGAACTGGGTGAGCTTTAAGCTCCCTTCCAACCCAAACCAGTCTGGGATGCTATGATAAATGCTGTGGGTGCTCTGGAGGGGAAGGAACTGCTCTCTGGGGGTGTTTGAGGCAGGAGGAAAACCAGCAGCACCCATCCCTGCTGCCACCCAACATACAGGGTGGGGGAGCTGCATCTTTGGGTCATAATTCCAACGAGAAAGGCTTTCCCAACACAAAAAAGAACCTTAAAATACGTCTATGAGTAGGGAAGCAGTTTTGGATGCCCAGCACCACCTCAGTTCCTCCCCATTGGTGCTGGGCTGGGTGCAGGGTGGCTGCACAGCAGCCACAGGAGGGCATCAACACCACACGCTTCAGCCTTTGGGCGACCTGGACCAGAGCCCAGTTTCAGAGCAGCGGGATTTAAGGAAGAACAGACATGGAAAAAAACCCCAATCATTACAATTGTTACCTTAGGAAGCAGTTTTGGGTGATTTTAGTGCGGTATCCACCTGCAAGGACTGGCCATTCCCATGCGAGTAGGAAGAGCTCTGCCACATAACCAAGGTTTGCATCAGCAACTGCTGCTCTTGCTGAGGATTTAGCTCCAGAGGGGAGACAGCAACAGAAAGTTGGGCAGAAATGAGGCCAAAATAGGGTTATCCACCCTCCCGATGGAGAAGCAAACCCCTGCATTTCAAGTCATTTCCCCCCAAACCAGCTCATGCTCCCCATGGGGTCCCAACCTCAGCCCCAGGAGCTGTGTGATGCCGAAGGGTAAAGCAGCCTTTGCTTTAAGCGTTCGCACTGTAAGAGGTGAACACAGGAGGCAAAGAGGAAATGGATGCAGCATCAGTCTTGGGTTTAAAAGGCTTGATGCTCTGGGGAGGGAATGGGAAAGGATGCAAGACCTCGGTAGATGTTTGACCTCCGCTGTGGTCCCCTTGGAGCTGATGTGGTTTCATGCCTGAAATGTCCCTGATCAGGGAGAAAACCATCCCAGCAAGGACAGGGAGAAACACAACACTGTTCTTTCCATGTATTGTTCAGAACACAGCCAGAAATGGGATAATGTTAGTGATGGGAATGTGTGCCCCTCATGAAACATGGTGCGGAGGAACAGGTCCCAGCCCTGGTGGATGCTCTGGAGGCCAGCCAGAGAGTAGGGTATCAAAACCAAATCAAGGGGCTGCCAGTTCGAACTGGATGATCACAGGGTCCTTTCCCACCCTAACCTATGATTCCTCAGCACAGCTCTTGCTCAGACCATAGGAAAAGGTTTTTAGACAAACCAACCCCCTTTCTCCTCTCTGCGTTTGCTTTTGGGTGGTTTCTTTGGTTTTCCTCCTGCTTCTGTCCAAAAAAATGACTTGAAAGTTTTTTGTTATTTTTATTTTTCTCCAACCCTTTCCCTCCCTCCCTCCCCCCTTTTAAACCCTGTTTTACCTTGGAAATAACCAGCACATCCACCCTGATCTCCCCGGGTTTGATGATGGACATGTGGCCCTGATCTTTAATGTGAGTTCCAACACAGGGATCGGAGGGGCGGGCGCCGCATCCATAACACCCCAGCTCTCACCCCCGGTGCTTGGTAGGATCCAGTAGCTTTTAACAGGACTAAAGCCTACTAAAGCCCAGCTTTAAAGACCCCTTCCCCTTGCTGCACGCTGTGGGGGGTGCATTGCCATGGTGGGAGGAAGCGCTGACCGAGCATCCATCCATGCTGGGGTACCAGCATCTCCATGGGGTGAAACAGCCCCTTAAAAGCTTTCGAGCATCCCATCGTCCCTGGCCAAAAGGGACCCAGGGGACCCCCCGCAGCACCTTTGCAGCCCCCCTCTGCTAGTGCCAAAGCTGCAGTTTTGCTTCTCCATCCCTTTCCTTCTCCGTGGATTCCCTCCCATTCCTGTCTCCTGACATTTATTAGGAGCGCTGTAATGAATCAAGCCGTGAATTCAGGTGGAATTTAACAGGGGTGCCCCACAGAGAGCCCTGTGCTTCCCAGAAAGGGCTGACCAAGGACTGCAGCTCCCTGGGGAATCGCTCCAGGGCAGGATGGGCATGAAGAAGCCATAGTGGTGAATGCAGAGTTAGGAAGGGCCAGAGGCTGAAGGGCTGGGTTGGAGCCTGAAGCATGGTGTACCGGAGGATGAGGGTGACACAGGGCCTGGTTCATCTTTCCCTGCCTGGTTTCCACCATGAGCTCCAGAACGAGGAGGGATGTGGTTTATGGAGGGGCAAATGGGCCGGCAGCATCTTGCCCCAGGTCAAGGGGGAGAATAACAATAAAGCAGCTAGAAAAGGACAGCATAAAGGGGAGGGAGAGAACAGAGTGTAGGTAAGGGTACAGGAGCTGGGATGCAGGATTGGGGTGAGGCAACGATGCTCAGCCTCTTCCCGAGGTCCAGCGGGGACCAAGCCATGACCAGGCTGAAGCTGGCAACTGCTCCTGGAGGTTTTCCACACGTCTCTGGCTGCTCTTTCCTCCCTTCCACCATTAGCAGAGTCTCTCTCTTGCCAGCTCCATGCTATCCCCTCGCTGCGCTGGCACTGACCGCAGCCCCCAGCCTCAACCTCACCACGAAAGGCTCTATATGTGGTTATATCCATCCATATGGGGCAGTGGTCATGGTAAGCTGGCGGGTGACAGCCCCGAGGTGGCACACACAGCACGGCCAAGCTGTTCCTCATTGGGGTTCCTTGGTTTTCTTTCCACGCAGCAGCGCCTGACCGAGGAGCTGCAGACCATGGAGAACGGGTACCACGACAACCCCACGCTGGAGGTGATGGAGACCTCCTCCGAGATGCAGGAGAAGAAGGTGAACCTCAACGGGGAGCTGGGGGACAGCTGGATCGTGCCTCTCGACACGCTAATGAAGGAGGACCTGGAGGAAGAGGAGGACACGCATCTATAGGATGCAGAACTCGATCAAGCAGACAACCAACCACCAACCCCCCCAAAAGAAGCCCACAATTCCTACACGCACGCACACACACAACTCCAAAACAAGGCGGAATTCCCAATAAACCTCATAAAAATCCACTCATGAACTCATCATGGCCCCTTGTGCCATGGAAGAAGAAGGGACACGAGAAGACACCTCTGGGGCGCATCATCAACACAAGCCACTGTGGTGGCCACATCTGGACAAGCATCTCCATCACCTGTGGGTGCTCAGCAGGACCTCCCACACCAGGCATGGGCTCACGGGGTGGCTTTGCTCCAGGAGAGCTGCTGGTGTCTCCTCCAAGCGTGTCCCCTCCCATCCCATGTCCAACCACACCAACTGCATCCTCCAGCTACCGAATCACTCAGAGATGAAGAGAAATAGATGTCAATAGGGTGGGAGAGGGAGCACATGTCCCAAGAGCAAGTAGAGCTAGGCAGTCCTCCAGCCCATGCCTCTTAGTTGTCACTTTGCCCTCCCAACACCCGGGTATCGAGTATAGATCGGCCTGTTCCTTGAGTTTTAATCTGGTTTCCATCCTCTCCCCATAAACTGCCGGCTGAAACGCACAAGAGCCTGAGTTGTGCCATAGGCAAATGAACACATTCAGACCAGGTTGGATGGGAGGGAGGGATGCAGCAGTGCCAAGGGATGCTCCATCCTGTGGGATGGATCCTGAACACAGTAGGAGACCAGGAGAGGCACAGCAGCTCCTTGTATTGATGCAAAGGGAAGGGAGAGGAAAAGGAATAACTCCTTGAGCTCATTCCTCCGAGGAAGGGCGAAATGAAACCAAGAGTGATGCCTGGTCACTGGTCAACGCACAAGGTTGGGGGTTCTGGGTGTCAAAGAGGGACTCTTCATCAGCGACTGTAGTGATAGGACAAGGGGTGATGGGTTCAAAGTGAAACAGGCGAAGTTCAGGCTGGAGACAAGGCAGAAGCTCTTCCCTGTGAGGGTGCTGAGGCGCTGGCACAGGGTGCCCAGAGAAGCTGTGGCTGCCCCATCCCTGGCAGTGTTCAAGGGCAGGTTGGACACAGGGGCTTGGAGCAAGCTGCTCTAGTGGAAGGGGTCCCTGCCCGTGGCAGGGGTTGGAACTGGAGGAGCTTTAAGGTCCTTTCTAATCCAAAGCGTTCCATGACTCCTGGTGCAGGAGTCTAACTCTGTTACTGCATTCCCCTACAGAAGTGTTGATTGCCTTCCAGTCGTTACACAGCAGCATCTCAGAGCCCACATCCATCCTCCCCTGAGACCGTGGGTTACGTGCACCACGATGGTTTGTGGTTCTTGTGGTCATGTTTTCCTGCATGAGCAGCAGAAGAGGGAAAAGAACAGCAGCACGAGCCGGGTAGCTTGGTGGTGATGCGGGTTTTCCATTGGTACAGCCCTTGGTGCTCAGTTTAGAAGCTCAGCCCACACCCTCAAGCTCTGCTTCAGCAGCTGGTAAAACAAGAGACCAGCAGCAAAGCTGAGACTGAGCCTTGTCCTGCAACCCTTGGTCTGTTGTCCAGGTCTCCCTTTGCTTTAGAGGGGAAAAGAAGAATACACAGGAGCAGGAAGTGGTTGGACTGAGGCTGTTCCCGGTTTCTTAACTCCCCGTCACAGCTCCTGAATGGCTCTAAAAGGATGGGGAGAGTTTCCCACCTTAGCTCTGGATTTGGGGAAGGAGCTCAGCCCTGGCAGAGGCAGGGATCAGCACAGGGCTCCATCCTTTATCACATAGGAAAGGGAGGAGAGGATGGGAAGGTCATTTGGATGAGAGCATCCACCAACACAGGAGGATGTGGTGGTCCCAAGCCCTCTGCAAGCCACAGGGGCTGCAGATGAAGAGCAATGCCTGAGCACGGCCTTTCCTTTCCCCTGCTTGCCATAAACCAGGCATTCACCAACGCACAACACCCCATTCCCTTCGGGCTCTGCCACCAAGTCAACACGATGGGGATCTGCTCCCATAGCTGCCCTGAATGAGGGGAGAAGCAGAGCTGAGCAATGGAAAGCTTGGAGAAACAGGGATCAATTTGGTCCTTGGGAATACACATGAAGGAGAGGGTCGTGGTGGGACAGAAGCTGATGGAGGATGTCTTCTCCAAGGGCCTGGCTCTTTTCCCTTCTCTCCTGCACCGAAGGGCAGTGAGTTTGAAGTGTTCAAACCTATATATTTTTGTACATATATAGTCCTGCTACTCATCAGCGATGTATTCAGCACCCGTCACCTACCCCTGCCCTGCACTGTGGGGAAGTCCTTCCGGAGGGGAGGGGGGTTAAAAGGCAACAAATAAGGAAAGAAAAAGCTAAAGGCCAGTCTGGGAGGGGATCCAATTCAACACGAAGCAGGAAAACACCTCCTGCCCATGTAACCCTGTGCCACAGCAGCACCAAGTTCACCTCTAGCACTGCAGCAAGGCTCAAAGAACCTTGGTCTTGGCATCTGCAGTTGCTTTCCGAGCGCCTTCGCTTCCCTGTTGCCCCAAGGAACACGGTGACCTCGTGTTCCTGCCCTTGGCATGGGATGAATGCAGCCAAAGGATGGGGTTTTGGCCACAGGAGCTGCTGTAGGGATGCCCCTGGCGGAGCATCTCCAGGCAGTGGCGTTTGGGCACGTGCCTAAAGATCCCCCTTCCCAGCAAAGAGATGCCAAAGTGCTTTAATGAATCAGGTCCAAAGACTTGCCACGAGAAACCTTCACAAGGCTTGAGGTGAAGCAAGCTGAGATCTTTCCTTGCAGAGCCCAGTGGAGACGTTGACTGCTCAGCAAGTGCTTTCAGTGATTTCTATTTGAATGGGAATTGTACATTTATTTATTTTTCCAGACACCGTATTTTTTAACCACTGATATTTTATAGTAGAGTTTTTCCTTCCCCCTATTTAAAGAACTATTTCCATGAGAAAAAGAAAGATAAAACCAGTATGCTTTTTATGTTGAGAACATTCTTTTTTTGGATCAAAAAGGAGACATAAACAGGTAGGAAATGCAGTAATTGAGCATCTTTGGCCTTAATCCTTCCCGTCATAGGCTGTAGCCATAACATTTAGACCAAAAATAACAGGTAAAACAAATCTATCCCAGCATTTCCTTCCTCCCTCCCCCTCGCTCCTCTTCTCTCCCCCAAACCAGCTTTAACACCCAACACGTTGGACAAAGAGCTGCTTGCTCTTACCTCCCAGTGGGAGCTTTACAAGCAGCTCAGACGTCCTCGCAAGAGACTTTTCTATCTTCAGATTCCCATGGAACGCGTCGATACTTCAGCACCATTTATCTCCCGCTCACAGTGCCATGAGGTTGATCCCAGGACTGTTGTTGCCTACAGAAGACAGACAGGAGAAGACATAATCCATAAGGGACTGCAGAAGGAGAACCTACTTCCCAAAGGCGGCTACCCGTTGAACCTTGCACATATACTAGAGCTCTTACGTACTGTATAGCAGCATCTCTCACGGGGACAGGAGTCTGATTTACACTGGAATTCACTGAGGAACTGGATTGTAGAGATTATTCTTGCATTTTCCTACAAATATATTTTGAAAGCATCATGTATTTCTGTCAATAAACGTTCTTATGTAAAAGGTTCATTTCTTGGCTGAGTGATGGAGGTGTTGCCACTGGATGGGGTTTGAGCTCTGGAAACACAGCACAGGGCTCGCAGGCTTCTCCTAGCAAAGAATATGGGGAAAACACGGGAGGAAAAGGAGCAAACCCAACCCAGTCCTTCAGCTGCAGGAAGGACTTGTGCTCTGGGTGACACGGTATGGGGCAGCCCTGCCCATGGCAGGGGGGTGGAACTGGATGACCTTAAGGTCCTTTCCAACCCAAACCTGTCTGTGATTTCCCATGCAGAAGGAAGTAAGATAGTGGTGGAAAACGTCTCGTAATTCAAAACACAGAAAGCTCAGAGGGGTGGGAGGCTCACTTGATGGGGGTGAGAGCAGCCCCACCATGACCAGAGCATCTGCTTCATTTACTGGTGCCTTTAAGCCCATGGAGGGAAGGGAAGGATCTTGCCCTTGTTTCTGAACTTCATCCTTACTCAAACCTAGCCTGCAGCCCCTCCTTACACTTGGGTCATGCTGTAGAGGAGGGAATCAAACCTCAAACCCCTAAGCCAAAAGACCCTGGTGAAGGAGGGACACCAAGGGCAAGAGCAGGATCTCCTCCAGCAGCAGCGTGGACAGTTCAGCAGCTCCATTGACCTTTAAGTGCCCAAAATAAAACATTTGGACCCAGGTTAAGTTTCCACTTACGCAAAGGAAGTAGAAAAAGAAAGAAAAAAAAACTATTTGATTCAAATATCAACATTCCAGGGCTGCCTGCCCCATCCCTGGCAGTGTTCAAGGCCAGGTTGGACCCAGGGGCTTGGAGCAAGCTGCTCTAGTGGAAGGTGTCCCTGCCCGTGGCAGGGGTTGGAGCTGGAGGAGCTTTAAGGCCCCTTCCAGCACAAACCATTCTGTGATTAAAGATTGATGGGTTGCACCGCCCTGTGTTCTGTGTTCCTCCTCATTAAGTTCTTGCAGCTGCTCAGCACAGGCTGGATTTATGGGACACTGCCCCAGCCCATCCATGATTGCAGGGAACAGGGTTTTTTTCTCAGCTGTTCTGTGCTATGGAGGGACACAGGAGGCTCCTCTAGCAGCAACAGTGACAGCCACTCAGGCATAACCCACCTTTTGGTTGACAACACCTCTAACAAGGCTTTCACAGACTTAAAATCACAGAACCAACCAGGCTGGAAAAGCCCTTCAAGCTCATCCAGTCCAACCTTACCCCAGCACTGCCAAGACCACCGCTGCCCCATGGCACTGAGGCCTCGTCTCCACGCTGTGTGAACACTTGCGGGGACGGTGACTGCAGCCCTGCCCTGGGCAGCCTGTTCCAATGCCTGAGCACCCTCTGGGGAAGGAATTGTTCCTCAGCTCCATCTAAACCTGCCCTGGTGCAGCTTGAGGCCGGTTCCTCTTGTCCCATCCCTTGTTCCTTGGGAGCAGAGCCCAGCCCCTCCTGGCTCCATCCTCCTCTCAGGCACTTGTAGGGAGCCATCAGGTCCCCCCTGAGCCTTCTCTTCTCCACACTGAACCCCCCAGGTCCCTCAGCCCTTCCCCATCACACTTGTGCTCCAGACCCTGCACCAGCTCCACTGCCCTTCTCTGGCCCCGCTCCAGCACCTCAATGTCTCTCTTGGAATGAGGGGCCCGGAGCCGAACACAGGATTCAAGCTGCAGCCTCCCCAGTGCCCAGTGCAGGGGCACAATCCCTGCCCTGGCCCTGCTGGTGCTGATACAGGCCAGGGTGCTGGGGGCTTCTTGGCTGTCTGGCGCATGCTCCATCAGCACCCCCAGGTCCTTCTCCATGAGCAGCTTTCCAGGCGCTCTTCCCGAAGGATGCATCAAGCAGTCAGGATGAAGGGATCTCACACAGCCCTGCTGGCATATACATTTTTATTAAGAAAAAAAAATGAACAAAATACATTCTCTCCTTATGTACATTACATACAACATAACTACAG